GCTGACGCGAGCTGATTTTTTAGACTATTCTTTAAAAAATTGCCCTAATTAGCGCTTAAGTAACAGAAATTTAATTTTCTGTCCAGTTATATAGAAAAGTATGAAGAATTTTTTTAATATTTATTAAAATAAAAATATTGTCAACTTTCCGAGATACAGGGTGCCAAAGTACACTAAAAAAACGTACTTTGTCAACCATATTCTGGAGAACTGGGTGGTCCGATTTCGAAAATTTAAATGTCATGATGATCTAAATAAATATGTCATCGCATTAACAACGATATTTTAAAAATATTAAAGAATTAAAATATGTTTTTTTTTAAACGTATTGCTTGAAAAACAATTACAAATCAACATCAGCTTCAGCTCGCAGTGTGCGCGGCTGCAAAAAGCTCCGATCGCTGATAAGCTTTCCGCGGATAAGCTCTCAGCCGTCAGCTCCGCTTTCAGCTCGTAGTGTGCGCGCGGCCTTATTCCTCAATTATACTAGTGCAGTGGCGTATACCGAAGATATTCCAAAGGGGGCTCCCAATCACTATTGATCTCACAAGGCACCCCCTCTGCTAACGCCACCAGTGCACTCTCCCTCTACTTCCGCTATAAGCCTCTCGTTCGTGATTAATGGCTCTCGATCCCCAACTGAAGCCCAGGATCTGTACCAAAAACGCAGCTAAGTGAAACAGCGCGGGAGATAACAGCTTAAGCCGATTTCGTGCCCTGTATTTATTTGGCACGCCAACTTTTTAGCTAAGTGCAAAACAATTTACCTAAATTCCCACAACATGCAAACGCACCTACAAACCTACACACACACTCACGCACTAACCCCAACAGCATGTGCACAAATGTACATACATGTTTGCATAATTGTTCCCCCGACTATTTTGCCACTCTTTTGTTGTTGTTGCCGCTTTTTTTGTTGCAACTATTATGGTTGTTGTTATGCTTGAAAAGCCTGCCAAAGCAGCTATGCACTTTTGCGGGATCTGGCTGTTTGTGCTTGTAATACCCTGTAATTGGCATTGGGTGTGTTGGGAAACAAAGGCGATTACAAGTGTTTATTTGAGAAATATATTTGAGAAATACTGTTGAGTTTTAATTTTAATTGAAATTTAGAAGATCTCAGTTCGCAAAATATCGATTTACCAGAAGGCAAAGATAAAACTGTTAGATCCCAGCATTTAACTAAAAGATATCTCTTTTATACATTTTTAAGTTTTTTAAGGACTTAAAAGTTATATTAATAAGTGCAAAATTTTAAAAATTATTAAGATAAGTTAGAATTCCTTATAAAACAAATAAAAAGTATGGAATATATTTTTTAACATTTTTACAGGGTGACCTTCAGTTTCAATTGTATAGTTAAGATTTGGCTTCAACTTTCCCCCCCAGTTGTTTTATTATGCTAATGCAGCCGGCACAGAGGTAACTCCTAGCCAACTGCCGCGTAGTCCTGTGTGTTGATTGGCGCCAAACACCCCCAACACACATCCCCTAGTACACACACACACACACACTTACTCTTTGCCAGCTTAGGGGATGGGCTGTAGGTTTCAGGGAGAACAATGCCGGCTCGTAGCAACTGGAAACTGTGCCAGCGAGTGAGTGCATTTGTGTAATGCCTTCTACGCAGGTTTAGACTAAGCCAAAAGTTTGATGGGAAGCCAATAGCAAACACCTCGTAAAATATTAAAAGGACGCCGGCAAGGATGGAAAACAAACAAGCGGCTCGCAGAATTTAAAAGCACGTCAAAGACTCAAAGAGGCGAGGTCGTTTGCCTGGGAACTTCAGCAGACTGTAAAATGAAATAATTATGAGCGATAAATTTGCCGGCGTCTTGGAAAAATTGTCGCTAAAATTGAGGAGATGGAGTGCAGTGGTGTCTTTATGGCCTTTTAAGTGCTAAATATTATGAAAATTTTTAAATTAATTAAATGAATCAGAATCCTGTTGGGTTCAAATGTATTTTTGGACTGCATAAACCATATTAACCCAAGGGTTTTTTTCTGGTTTTAGAAGATCGCAGAATGTAAACAAAAATTAAAAATAAATTTGTGTTTAATTTTATCCCAAATAAAATAAGCTTAAAAACACTTATTCTAATCTTGGGTTTTTTACAATATCTATTAAAGTCTTAACTATGACAATTTTATGGTTTAGAAGACTTAATAATCATCATCAAAAATGTATAGTTAAAAGTTTTAATCAAATTTATAGCTACTTTTCTGCAGCATCTCTGAGATGGTGAGATACCGTCTGCCTCGATAATGAACCGTGATGAGATAGGGGACCGTTGTTAAGGCAACTTCTTCGAAATGCCAAGGAGTGGCGGAAAACACAGGCAATTATGCTGGGTAAAAAACAAAAATAAAAAATTTGCCGAATTTCTAATTGGATCGATTCAAATGGCGGGCCATTAAAAATTCATAAGAATCTCGCTTTGCGCCTTGGCTAATTCAATTTAAAGGCCTCGGCCTCGTCTCCAACCTCTGGCCTCCGCCGGATCGAGCTCATATTTTATCGGTGCTGTCGTCTGGCTGCAGTTGCACGTGCCAATCTACTCCGGAGTGCCGAGTTCGGGGACTCCTTGGCGCCCCAACCCGACGCCATACCCCCAATCCTATCCGTCCGGATAGCACTTTTATCGGAGCGCGTAAATTTCAACACTGTACGGCGACATTGCCTCGCACAGATTTATTTTATTTACAGCGTCGTGGCCAAAGGAGTTTACCGGCTGACTTCCCCTTTCATATAATTTCAATTATCGCCTGTTGGCAGCCGGCCATAAATTAACTTAAAATCTGAGACGAGACGCGCAGCGGCTGCAGGTGCAGCTTGCACTGATTGCATGTGAAAAATATTCCCCTTTTCCGCGGCTCTTTTAATTAAGTGCAAATGCAAAAGTTATGAACTGGCGGATAGGAACTTGGTTATCTATTGAATTCCGCATATTGAACCCTTTGAGTCGAAATTATTCCTTTCCAAAAACTTTTTGGCAGCACGAAATTGTCGTCTGGCTGACATGGGGCTCTATATGTACGTAGGAAAAACTTGTGAGTGCTAACAAACGGAAACAAACAGCTGCATTAGCAGCCACAAATCAGCAGCAATCACAGCAACGGCTATGGCAACATCAACAAACAAAGTTGAGCGCACTCACTTAAAAATTCCAAACACAAAAGCGGAAATATGCAAAAGCTTGGACTACAAATAAACAAAAAAAAAAAAAGAGAGGGCTTAAAGGACCGAGAACAGTGGCCGAGGCGTAAAGTACTCTTCCTTAAGCGATAGGCAGGCTAAAATATAAAATTTTTCTGTTTTATTGTCTGCATTTCATTCAAGAAGAAATCATTTTATATAAACTTAATTATATACCAAAAAAAATATTAATTTATTAATTAAAATATAATCAAAATACTCCACTAAATGCATATTTATGAATACCAAAAAATCACTCATACGCCACATGGGCCACACATTCGGCAATAAAATCAAACAAAACCAAATTGAATATAAGCTAAAAATTATTTATACTCATTTTCTTATGTTTTTAATTAGATAATAAAAAAACTACTCTTTAATTAAGAATTTTCTCATTAAAATTGTACCTTATGTTTCCAAAAAATAACTCATACGCCACATGGGCCTCTTAGTAGTCAATGATTTGCACGAAAAGTAATTTAATATTCTGTAAATATACCTATAGTTTTTCTTATTAAAATGTACTTGGTAGTTCCAAAATATCACTTATACGCAACATGGGTCAGACCACACTTTATCAAATAAAAAAATATTCTCTACACCTTAATTAAATTATTTAAAAACTCTTTTAAACCTAGAAAAATTCTATTTCAAAACATTCAAGCTAACTAGAAAAGTAGCCCCTCGAAAGGGTAGTAAAAAACAGAGGAACAAGGGTAACGACAACGGAAATGACACAGCCGCCATGTTGGCCAACTTGTTGTTACCACCACTGTCTGTCCGACTGTGCAATCGGAGTTGCTGTTGTTACTGTTGGTTTCTTGGTTGGCTTGTTTGTTTGTCGTTTTGAAACGAGCTGTTAACGAGCAGAACAAGCTATATTTGCAGATGCAGGTGAGATATGGGGTACGGTAACGTGGATGAGGGCTAAGAAGACCGTGAGAAACCGTTTAGAGAGACTCTCCGCCTGCAAACTTCGAGTGGGCAGGCGACGGCTCATGTAAGCTACGGCAAATTAGTGATAATGAATAATTTCCCATACCTATAATTAAGGGCATCATTAAAAACGTTTGCCGGCAACGGAATGACGACGACGACGACTACGACGAAATTGCGTTCGTCTAGCACTAAACGCTTTTCCAATTACCGCACAGCACACAGGGCAGAAGTCATTTTCCGCTTGCATATCCACAATCCTACCCTCAAAACCTCCTCCCGCATTTCCGTGGCAAGTGCAGCAGGAGCAGATAGTGCCGCAAAGCGAGAAGATGGGTGGGTTGGTCCCCGCCGGGGTCCACTATGTCCCACTCTCTCTTTCGGCACGCTTCAGTTGGCCACTCGGCCATGTCGCTCATCCATCCCAAACCAGAGGCCAACAATGCCAGCGGTCGATTTCAGGCTGGCAAACTGCCGTCATATTTTTGCGATGGGTAACGTCCAACCACACTGAAAGAAAACTGGGTTAAATAACTAATTTTAGTAGTTTTAAAAGTCCTGTATGGTAGACATATTTATTTTCTTGCGTCTAAACTAGTTGAATCAAAGTCATGGTAAGTTTATTAATATGCAAACTCAATTAAAACCATATTTTTCTATGTTATTTATCTCTCAGTGCATCCCTTACTGTAGTAGACCCCCTGTCAGACGGCGTTTTTGTGGCTTTTGCGTGTGTCGTGCAGCATGCGATTTTGATGTTTGCTGCGACACGTGCACACGGTCGCCAAAGATGAAGTGGGTCACTCCTGCGAGTGTCACTCTGTGCTCTGTGCATAAAACGGGCATCATTTTAATGGCCAAATTATTTGCCTATTTCCACACTATGGATCAGCAACTCCATCACCAGAGCCAAGCCGGCAAATGTGAAGCCAAAGGCCAGCACGAACAGGGCACCGGCTATGTTGTGCACATCGAGGACCTGGGGAGCTCCCTTGACCTTGTGTCCATTGGCCAGGTCCATTAGAACTTCCTGTTTCTTTTTGTCCATATATTTGACAATGAACTTGAGAATTAATATATAATTATTAGTACTTATTTATGGGCAGGGAAACCTTTGTACCTGCAGCTCCCAGTGGACATAAAGACCCGTTTCCTGGCAAGTTCGAATGTGCTTGTTTAACTCCCGCATTAAAGGCCAACCCCTTATAGACACTGCTCTCGTATAATCAAAATACAAATCGTCGTGAAGAACCTAAAAGTAAATATTATATAAAATTTGCATTATATACATATGTATCTATTAAAGAACTCTTACAATTCGATTTTCCAGTGCCTCGGTGGATACATAGTCACCAACGGAAAGTGATCCCGAGGACAGCCGCTCAATGCCAAGTCCATAGTTGGGCATGAAGCTAGCATTGGACAAATAGCTGTAGTCACGGACCTCGAAGTTCCTTGCCAGGATCTGCTCTGTTACCAAGTCAGAGCTTTGCACCGTGTGCACCCAAATGATGGAGGGAGCTGCCCACTTCCACTCTGCCTGAGCCCACTTTCCCATGGTGTCCACAGGAGCACTGTAGAAGGGTATGGTCAGCAAGGACTTTAACTGGCCACTGTATATATTCTCCAGGGTGATGGTGGCACACAACAGGGTGGCCAGAAAGAAACGAGGTGCAAAGGGATCAAAACTATAGGGTAAAAATAAATTGGAAATAGATTCTTGTATTTTTTTTTCTAAAGCTACCCCAAGGAAGCCGACGGCTGCTGTATAAAAAGAGCAAATATATCCAGCATAGACTTCTCTAGCTTCTTGCCATGCCTGAATGCAGCCGACTTAGTGCTTAGACCCAAGCGATAGCTGAATAACTGCATCAGGTACAGGAATGTGCCACAAAGTATCATGGTGAAGATCAACATCAGCCAAGTTTGATCATTAAAAGGCAAGATATTAGTGCGCCAGCTGGGCAAGGGTCTGAATAAAAAGTAGTATTAATTATTTAACTATGAAGGTATTGTTAGAACCTACGCTGGTGCAGGCCCCAAAATGGTCACCGAGGAACGAGCTATGGTTACCGAGGTCTCCGTAATGCCATCGTACCAATTGTAGATGCAGCCAATGGCCAACTCCACACGCTGCTCGTAGATATCGCCCAGCATTCCGTCACTAGTCTCATTCTCATAGATGCCGCCCCAATTGTCTGCGCCATCTACAGGTAACTTGGATATAATCTAAATAATTATACATACTATTAACTTACAGGCCTGCACTCTGAGATGGCAATTGTGAACCTGGCAGAAGGTCTTCATCACATTCGCTTCGGCACCATCGAAGGTAATCGAACGGCCGGCCTTTTGCGGATGAATGGGATCCACATCGCCCTCGCCTGCAGCCTATAAAGATGTTTAATGTTAATGGCTAACTAAGCTCGGGTTTGGCCAATCAAGTGTCTGGGCTAATTTCGTTAATGACTCAGTTGTAACCACGCCCACACCAAGCACACTCTCCGGCACAAAGTAACATTCAAATGGACATCGACACTTGGCTCGTCGGGCGGCAATTAAATGGAAACACGTAATTTAAATCAATGTTGGTGTTGGCTGTTCTAGATGTGTGTGTGTGTGTGTGTGTGTGTGTGTTGGGGCCAAAGCCAAGCCCCAAACAAAACCACACGCACATGCTTGTGGCTGTTTGCCTATCTGTGTAAGCCCGTGCGATGCGGTGTGTTGGTGCCAGAGTGGCTGGGTGTGTGCGTGTGTGTTTACAAATGTGCAAATGTCCTTAAGGCAAACAATTGAGTGCGAACAAAAGTTTTGCCAAATGACAACAAAGGCGTTTTTTTTTTTTTGCGACCTATCTTGGTGGTGTTGGGGGGTGTTACAATGGGATCAGAGGGATAAGAAGTATCTAAAAATATGTGGAAACAGACTAACAATGCTAAAGTTAAATATATAATATAATATTCTAAAGTAAATAAATTACTAGGAGTTTTAAAAACCTTAAATATTTGTCTAAAAGAAAACAAATTTTTCGTAAAATTTTGTATAATAATTTTGGTCAATTTTTTATTAATTTTTAAAAACCCCTACTTTATTTGTAGCACCCCAATTAAGCAGTTTTTTAATTAGAAAAATATATTTTATATTTTTTTAAAATATCTATAGTCACGTATTAAAATATACCCAAATATTCATTAAATACTTCGTAAAAGATTCCCCAACCATGGTGCCTCGTTGTACTTTGGACAAATCATTCAGACAAGTTCTGCCTTCCCTTACTGGGACTGGACACCGCAGTAGTGGCACAACATGTGCTTACATTTTAGTTGCCAAAATCGTTGCCCACAACGACAGCAAAGCCAACATAACTAAGCACCCACACACAGCCACAACACACTCACAACAAACCCAAACAATACACCACACAAAGAAGCAACCACTGGACATTTATTCATGATGAGTTCGCACACTGAGCCCGACTAATGCAAAGACAACGATGTGAATGAGCCTGATGAAGATGAGGAGTCCTCGGCATTTTGAGGGGAGGAGAATGAGGGACGGGGGACGGGGGACGGGGACAAGGACGACCAATTGGCTTTGCTTAATGTTGGCGTGCAAATCTCTGGCATTTGGGGTAAAGCTGGCTGGCCAGTAAAGAAATCACTGAGAAAAATCCTTATTTTTAGCTTGGTTTATTTAATTTGTAGTTTGAAAATATTTGAATTCAAAAAATTATTTGGGGAATAACATAATATAATATTGAGGTAACTAACAAAATCACCCGTAAAAACAGAGGCAACAATTGGGCAACAAATTTTCTATTTAAAAAAAAAACCGACACGGAATTCGGTACCTCAAAATTTTTTTGCATACTTTTCGACGCATTTTTGAAAGGTTTAAAACCGTAGTAATTTTCTGAACATTCTATAATATCTTCTTTAATTTAATTTTATTTTAAAATTAAGCTCACAATTCCTGTAAGTTTTTGAAAATATAATAATAATATAAATTTCCGTGTTTCATAGTCACCATAAAGACGAGATTAGGACTTTTGGCCAGTGTGCCAACAACAACAAACGATAAATATAAACTTAACCGGCAATTACTTACCACATAATTAGTAATCGTATATGGGACATAAGTAATGGAGCCAACGAGCAGGCTGCGGCCCTGCAGATTGAGCAGCTTGTTGGGATAAAGTTCGACCCGCTGCTGGGGAAAAGTTTCGTTCGGCAAGAATGCGTCCAGGCGCACGGCATCCAAATTACCAAAGGCACCGACAAACTTTTGTGTCCACAGCTCGAAATTGATGTCGCGGCGGGATGAAGTGGCCCTAGCCCCTGCTCCTCCTTCTCTCAGACCCAGTCCTAGTCCCTCATGGTCCTTGTTTCTCGTGTTTACCGATGCGCCTCCCGTACGCCAGAGGTCTGGTGGGGGTCCTGTTTTTGGTTCTGCTCCTGTTTCAGCTTCTGTCTCGGTTCCAGGTCGCACCATCAGATGGTGGGGGTAGACTAAAGCGCATTACAGCGATTTCCCGATGTTGGACAAGCAGAAACAACAAGAGAACAGGGGACATTAAAAAACAAACAAAAAAACAAAGCATAAAGTTTGGGCTTAAAAATGAAGAGATATGGACTAAAAAATTACCCCATTTAAAGGTTCTAATTCGGATTTAATAGGAAGAAGACATAATTTTGAATATTTCCCTCGAAAAATTAAGTGTTGCATGATACATGCAGGTTTCTCACTGAGTTTTGGTTACAAAATCACTTTATATACATAAAAAAAAAACTTAAATAAGAAGAAAGCTTTATAAAAACCTTAAAGATTTAAAATCAATTTAAAGACAGCCCAAAAGTAGGCAATAAAATGTTTTAATCTAAATATTAAATTTAAAAAAAAAACAGAACTGTTGTTTAATGAATAAAACAAATCATAAAAATAATATAAGCTGGCAGCTAAAAATATAATAAAAACAACATTGTGTAACATAATTTTAGATACCATTTCAAAAGATTTCAAAATCTAAGCCATCTTATTCAGTCAAAAACCCAGGGTATCCAAGCTCAACTCCCAAAAGCAAAAGCGAGTTACAAACAAAAACCCAAAAAAAACAAACAAATACAAGGAAAAATAAAAGACAGAGGCAAGAAAAAGCCGAGGCCAGAAAAAATCCAAAAGTTTACAATTGAACAAGACGCTGTCGAGCGTTGAAATTATTGGCAAGTGCTAAAGTTTGATCAACTGGCCGCGAGTGTCCTGCGGCGGTTTCCCAGTTTCCCGGCTTTTCCGGCTTGCCATGTTTACGCGTGAGTCGCCTCTCGTGTGGCAAACTTTTCGAGTTTGACTTGTTTTTGCCACACTAACACACAGGCACACACACACCCCGGGGAAGTGGCGAGAAGTCACCGCTTAAGCTAATAAATTGATGCTGATGGGGGCGGTTGAAGCTCAATAGAACTAGACAGGATGGAACACTCAATTGAAATGGCCCATCCGTAATGTCTTCATTAAGGCACAGCCTCATTCCCCCCGCTACTCACACTGCAGTATATCCAAACCCAGCAATTCCTCAGGGCTTTCGTCCTCGCAGAGGAACAAATAGAGCTTATCCTTGAGCCTAACATTGGCATTGCGAGTGGCATAATAGCGAGCATGCAGAAACTGATGCGTTTCCGATAAGATGGTGATAAAACCCTGGAAAAAGTAAAGGTTTAAAATTCAAGAATTTATATTTATTTTATAGTTCTCACCTCTGTGACACTACTATTAACGGCAGCCATAACTTGCCCCTCCAGCTCGCCTAGAGCATTCAATTTTGCCACATTTATCCATTGGACCCCCACTGGCTGTGGCAAATCCCAAAGAGCTAGTTCCAAAGCCCTCAAATAATCCAGTTGCAATGAAGTTGTAGTTCCGGTATTATTGTACACAATCAGTATGGTTGAAAATGCAGCAAAGTGTTGACCAACTAAGGGAAATAGTGTTTGGTTTTGGCTAAAAAGTTTAAGGCCGAATTTTCTTACCTATAAGCTCAAGTAATTGGCTTAAGGGCATCACCAGTGTTTGCAGCAACATCTCAATATCCTTTTGACTTCATTTTCCAAGGATTGCATAGCTTTTATAGGACAGACATTTAATGACTCTGCTTCGATTGGCTGGCAAATTGATTTTAACTCGAAGTGTAATTGAAAACCTCTGTTCGTCCTGGAACTGGGAAATGCGCATTGTTTGCCCAGAGACATTAGTCTAATGAAACGCACACAGCCCATTACGATATTTGCATAATTCGGTAAACAAACAAAACGGTAACAAAGGCTGCTACTACTACGGCCAAGTTTAGTCAAGTCAAGCGGAAAGCCTCTGTCGTCGAGTCAGTCATATAGTTAAAGTCTCTTAGAGAATCTCAGGGTGGTTTTAGTCCCTGAGAATTGAGAAGAAAGTGGCTGGATCAAGCCTGTAAAATTTAGAGATATTCTGATTAATTGCTGCTAAATAATACTCAAGAAATATAATAAAACTTATGTATTATTTATTCTACAGCAACTGAAACCTTTTAGTATCTTAAGAATTAATCCCAATTCCAGCAGACTCTGATTTTTCGCCCAGTGATCTGGCTTAACCGCTGGCTCTGGGCCAATTAGTGTTACCACAAATTAGCGGCAACAATGGCAATGCCGCCAAACGACTGACTTTCATTATGAATGCGAACAAAGCCCCCAAAAAGAGAGGAGCTAAAGGTCCAGAGATAGTCGACAGAAATGAAGCCAGGGACCGGGCCAAGTGTCAATTGAAACAATTCAATTGGTCTGCCAGCAGATTCCGGCGGCTGTAAGAGGGGTTAAGGACGCAGGATGCAGGACGCAGGACATCGCTGTCGCCGTTGCCGCTGCCGATGTGAGAACACAAGCGGACAGGCGAGACAGCCCAGACCCAGCCAGGCTGTCGTCGGAGTGAATGTGTGAGTGTTGCAAGTGCTTAACCATTGGGTTATTTGAAATTGAAAGACAGATTAAAGGATTTGCTCCTGGCGAGCCAAAGCAGAACCAGCTGGAGACACAGGCACGGCATCCCACAATGGAGGACGAGGAGGCTGTGGGTCCTGGTCATTTCAGTGCACAGCAGGCGGCGATTTTATTGCTCCGACAACCTGCTGGGAACTCCCCAAAACGAGGGGAGCAAAACAAAAAAAAAAAGGAACACACACATGGGTAACTATGGCTCGGCACTAAAGGGCAATTAAACACTCTAGCGGTGTTGGTTCCCTCTGTCGGAGTTACTCGAAAGTCAATGGCATTAAAAATCCATGAAACGATATTTATCTTCTCAAATGCTTTTGCGGGTTGGCCATAAACTGAACAAGGCTATATCGTTTCGACAAAGTTATTAAAGTTTTACTGGGTGTATTGAAGCTAAGTCAAGTTATGAAAATAGAAAATTTTTTAGATTTGGTTATTATACGGTATACTTACATATATTTATATCTATCAGTTTTAACTTCTCTAATACGCTTTGGAATTCATGAATTATTGATTTAATTTATTGTAATTATTATAATGATCATAATTTAAATATTATATCAATACAGTATCGATATACATAAATTTATATTTTTTGCCATCCCTAGTATAAGCTGTTTTCGGTCAGCTTGCCTTGGCATTTCTGTCACTTTTCTTCAGTCAGCTTTCGTATAAAAAGCAGCTCCCTTGCCTTGGATTGCTCATTCAATTCCACGCTCTTTACCTGAAAGGTGTTTTATTTTTATTTTATTTATTGTTTATTTTATTTTACTTATTGGTTTTTAGTTTTTATTTTTATTTTTTCTTTGCAAAACCGTGGAAATCGGTTCGTGCATTCTGGAGTTATGTATATGATCAGGATCTATAGGCAGAGTGGTTAATTTAACCTCAAATCCGCATAACTTACACAGTTCAACTTACCACCTTTTCTGTTGCAATTATTCTTGAAAAAACCGCTGAAATATATGAGGTCAAGTCAATGTTACAAATTCCCAAGGCTCGGATGCACCATTTGTTTTACTAAACCATTCGAAAGTGGCCAATATTAAATTAATTAAAATCGGGAACGAAGACATGCCGGCAATAGCTGAGAATATTCCCACTGCTGGTCCCGATTGGATAGTACTTCTGCAGCGATTCGATGGTAGTGTCGACTTACTTCAGAAATACTTGGATCAAAGCGTTGGTGAACTATCCGGGGAATTCTGGATTGGTCTTGATCAAGGACTATGGGCAGAGTGGTTAATTTCACATCAAGTCCACATAATTTAACTTACCACCTTAAAGACAAATGCTGGTTTCCAATTGAAATGTTAGGAAACGAATAACTTATTTTTGGACTCTTTTATTTACAATTTCACAAAATTGAACACAATTTCGGTTTGTCTCATAAAATAAACTTTTTTTTTTCTTTTGCACTATATTTAATAAGGCATACGGAGTGCTATTTACCCCTTTGTGACCTTAATATCTAATCATTCTGCCCTAAATCGGGCGCGGCGGCTAACCTTATCGGTTAGCATTTTCACAATTACAAAAATAGCAGTAACATCACAGTACGATTACATTAAGTGTCTTCCTTCACATTCTGGCCATTGTAGGTCGTCTACTTCTGGCCCCAGGCGACCGAAAAATGAGGTCTCCAGGGTTCCTCCTCCTCAGCCTTCTGGGGTTTATCCCTCTTGTCAGCCTATTGGCCAGCCAGTTTCGATGCCGCGCCAGTCTGTCATGGTAGCGACTTGAGTGCATGCTGATTTCCTCCATCACCAGGGGAAGCTTCAAGTCCTTGCGCAAGGTGGAGTTGCGGACGTACCACTCGCAGCCAGTGATGATTCTGGCTACTCTGTTCTGAGCAGTCTGGATTCTCCGGATCTGGCTATCGCATGTCAGCCCCCAGATCTGGCAACCATATCTCCAGATTGGCGCTATAATCTTAATCTGCTTATAAATTGTCAGTTTGTTGGCGAGTGACAATTTGCTACGCGAACAGAGTAGCCAGTAGTGCTTCGAAACTGCTGCACGAATGCGGGTTCTGATCGCTGAGACATGTTTCGTAAAGGTTAGCCTCCTATCTAAGATCACTCCAAGATACTTGGCTTCATTCCTTTGCGGTACAGGGGCCTCCTCGATGTAAATATGGCATGCTATGTATCAGTGATGGCGCTTTATGCAAAAATGACTTTCCCGCTTTTCTGTTGCAATTTCTCCTGAGTTTTCTTTACTGCTAATATCACAAATTCCGAGACCTTTCCAACGAATGCAAAACCGTGGTAATCGGTTCGTGCGTTCTGGAGTAGTAGGATCCCGATGGAAAACCCGACTTAGTTTTATATAATAGATAGATATCCGGCATTTGTTAATTGGTATGGGATTTGACTTTAGTAGTTGGTTTCTCAGCTAGAGAATCAGTCGTGGGTTTCTAGCTCAGAATGAGACGAGACATAGAGGACGTTAAATTTGATCACTGGGCAGTTTAAAGCTTCTCTCATTTTCTTTTCAAAATACGATTCAGATAAGCAGTTAATAGTCATCTCAGTTGAAGGAGAAGAAGTCTTGGTGGCAATGCTAACATATCTGTTGCCAAACTGACAAGGAAGGCTGATAAATCCCCTCGGATTACGTCGAGCTGAGAGCTACTTTCTCCCGGGCCTGCGCCAGCAACTTTCCGCATTTTTTTGAATTTATTTGAATTTTCCATAATCCAACCTCCTCTGCTAGAGGTCTATGAATACCTCTTTGAAACACCGTGGTGCATCACAGCCGAAGGAATTACCATTGTCGCTTTGTCGCCTTCCTTCCGAGTTTAGCGGTATCTAAGGAGCCGAATTTTTTATTTTTTTGGCATAGATACGACGTATTTTATCATACGCAGCGTGGTTATCTCCACAATTGGCGCAGATCAGATCTCTAGTAGTTTCTGGCCAATATGAATCTCTACATCTTCCACACGTAGTTCTTTATATGATTAATTTCGAAGCACCTGTAGCCCTGCTTCACTTTGTTGATATCTCTCTTCATTTCAATAGAAATCCTTTGTCTGCCATTTTTTCATGGCAACCACCTCCACATTATTAAGGGCTTGTTTCAAGTCGATAAAACAAATATTTTGCCTTCTGATCTCTGGACTTTCAGCCTGAGTTGTAGAGGTTAGTCACCGTTTGCCCAAATTTTGCGTAATGGCCCTATGAGTGTCTGAATCATTCGCATAGATTCGTAAATCGCCAGAAAAGGAAGTGCGAAATTCGAATCCTTCTTCTAGGATCTCACTTAATACCATGGATTCCATATTCCCCACGTTATTAACGTTAGGTACTGTGATAGGCCTGGGTTTGGGTATTTTTGTGAAGATGGCTTGTTAGGGAGGAGTCTCCTCCTCTACAATTTGGTATTTGGAAGTCATCCACCACCTCAGGGTCCCATGTTTTTAACAGCTTCTTCTTCCATAAAAGTTGCATAACGATTCTGTGAGGGAGGGGTTGATAATTTCTCCTTTTTTTCAAAAGACCCTAGAGTAGGGGCTATTTAGAAAATATGAGTATTCAAAGTGAACTTTGTGTCGTTCTTTTTCTATCACACAATACAAATTGGTAAATTGGTTGACTTTCGGTTAATATTACACAAAAGCCATAAAAACGATGGTCATGGTTTTTCCTTTAAATGTTAGATACTTTTTTAAACTGTTAAAGAAACTAAAAAACGGAGGTTTGGTTTGTGCTTGTACAGGTAAATCGCTAGGTTTCAATTTTTGACTACTTTTTCTGGCTTAATAAATATTACTACGAATACATCATAAATTCAAATCCCTTAATTTTCTGCTTATTTTTAAAGTATTTAATTAAGAATTTTACAGTAAATAAAAACTATAAAAAATTATGCGTAAAAGAATAACAAATGCAAATGGAATTTTCAATGTCACAGCGCCTTGAAGTAAGCAACACTAATCAGGGGCTCTGATGCAGATTTGTGCGATTACGTGTTTGTCTGCCTGCGTGTCTGTCCACAGAAATGGAATTTACACACCTCACACACGCCACGCCATGCCACGCACACCCTGCGGGG